CTACCTGAGACAGGTCTGCAAAGTTGGAATGCTATATAAAATCTACATAAAAACAGAATGCAATGATTTGCATATCTCATAGACCCATTTTATTCACAATAGAAAAAACAGAAAATATATACAATATTTAACCTCTTCACGCCGGCCGCACACAAATGTCTGGGCCTAGACACCGAGCGGCCGCACATTTGCGTGCAATTAACAAAAAACATATGTGCTGACCCTGCGCGCTCCCAGCACACATGTCCGCTACTCACAGAAAGGTCCCGGCCTGCTCTTTAGATTTTGTACTCTCCAGTTTTAGTAAATCAACTCCAATGTCTGTTGATATTGGATACTGAGTATGGTGGAAGGTACACCTATGTGGATTGGCAAGCCTTGCTGAATGAACATGGAAACTTGACTGTGAGAAACTGGATGGAAGGGTGGGGAACAGAAACCTAATTAATAGAAGGCTAACAATGTTCTGTATTTTATAGTAGGCTGAACAGTGACACCTGAATGTGTACAAATAACATGACCAGCTGCTGTACACAGAGTGAAATGTGTTTATTTACTGATTGTCTTTTCCATTGAATCTGACTTTGTATTCTGAGACAGCACTCTTTACTATTTCCTAATTATCATTATCAGAGTAAATATTTCACATTGCTGTTCTGATAAGTAATCTAAATCTGCTGTGACAGTTGTACAGTGACTGTTTATTTCTGTATACTGGCTCCAAATAACAGGAAACAGTAGCTCAGATAAAAGACAAAATTGGAAGACAGCAGCTGTTTCCTCAAAAGAGGTCACATTAGACAGCAAGAGAGGCACTTCCTCAGCAGGATAGATCCCGTCTTACAAATAAACCGCAATATGTCCTGAGAAGAAGTAAAATATACAACTGAAGACAATCATTTTCAGCCATAAAATATATTATCAAATGCTGTGGATTAAAGGTTTTAACCCGAATTGGAAACAACATTGCACTTGTAAGAAAAGAATCAAATACAGACCCCTTGTACTGGGCATCTACAGTGCTGTGAAAAACTATTTGCCCCTTCCTGATCTGTATAAATTTTTTTGCATATTTTTCAACTTAAATTATTGAGATCATCAAACAAATTTTACAATTACACAAAGATAACCCATAATACAAAATACAGTTTTTAAATGATGATTTCATTTATTAAGGGAAAAAGGCTGTCCAAATCTGCCTGGCCCTGTGCAAAAAAGTAATTGCCCCTTAAACCTAATAACTGGTCAGGAACTGATGGCCAGGAACTTCCAAAAAGTTCAACTTTTGTCTCATCGGTCCAGAGAATATCTGCCTAAATGGCTTGGAAATAATTAAGATTTTTTTGTCAAATGTGAGACAAGCCTTTGTGATCTTTTTGGTCAGCAGTGGCTTTCGCCTTGGAACTATCCCATGGATGTTTTAGCCCAGTCTCTTTATTATTGTTGAATCATGAACAATGACCTTAACTGAGGCAAGTGAGGCCTGCAGTTCTTTAGATGTTGTTCTCAGTTATTTTATGACCTCCTGGATACTTCGTCTTGTGCTCCCTTGTAATTTTGGTAGGCTGGACACTCCTGGGAAGGTACACCACTGTTCCAATTTTTCTCTATTTGTAGATAATGGCTCTCACCGTAGTTCCCTGGAGTCCCAAAGCCTTAGAAATAGCTTTGTAACCCTTTCCAGACTGATACATGTCAATTACTTTGTTTCTCATCTGTTTTTGAATTTCTTTAGATCGTGGCATGATATGTTGCTTTTTGAGATTATTTAACGTGCTTCACTGTCAGACAGCTTCTATTTAAGTGATTTCTTGATTCAACAGGACTGGCAGTAATCGGACCTGCGTTTGGCAAGTGAAATTTAACTCATTAACCACTAAAGTGTGGTTAATCACAGTTCATTCATGATTTAGCAAGGGATGGGGGGGGGGAACGCTTCGATCGAAAACACCCCGGCTGTGGGAAGAAATGAAAAAATGCACCGATACAGATGGCGAAAAAACCACAACCCTCGCCGCCGCCCATCAGCCGTCGCCTGCCCACCGGCCGCCACTCGGTAGTTCAGTGTTACCTGAGAAACCATCAATCCCGGCATTGGGCATAGAGATGAGAGAAGGAAAGAAGGCCGCCACACATCTCTAAGCCCTTGGAGGACCGGAGCAATGTCACTTCCAGTTCCAGCCATTTTTTTTTTTTTTAAAGCACTATATCATTGCTTTTTTTGATCTAATGCTTTACATTGCAGAGGAGAGATGTGGGGTCTTATTGACCCCATATCTCTCCATAAAGTGGACCTGTCACTAATTATTTCTATCACAGGGATGCATGCATTTCTTGAGATAAGAATAAAAGTGATTACAATTTTTTTAAAAGAAACAGTGCAAAAATAAAAAAAATTATTAAATACATTTTTTAAACAAAAAAAAAGTTTAAAGTGCCCCCGTACCCCTCTGCTCGCACATATGCTCACATATGTAAATGGTGTTCAAACCACACACGTGAGGTATCGCCATGAGTGTCGGAGCAAGAGCAATAATTATCGCACTAGACCTCCTCTGTAATTTTACACTGCTAACCTGCAGAAATTTTTAAAGCATCACCCATGGAGATTTTTAAGCACCGCAGTTTCACGCCATTCCACGATTGTGCGAAATTTTAAAGCGCGACATGTTGTGTATCTATTTACTCACCGTAACATCCTCTTACATATTTTACAAAACAATTGGGGTATGTATTTTTTTTTAATCAAACTGTATTTTTTCCAAAAAATATATATTCATTTTTAAAAACTGCGCATTTTGGTTTTGGTTTTCGGCCAAGTGCATTTTGAATTTTCGGTTTTGGAACCCGAATTTTCATTTCGGTGCACCACTAACGGAAAACTAACACTGCACATCACCCTGAACACACCATTCACACTGTGAAACATTGGTGGTGGCAGCATCATGTTGTGGGAATGCTTTTCTTCAGCAGAGACAGAGAAGCTGGTCAGAGTTGATGGGAAGATGGATGGAGCCAAATACAGGGCAATCTTAGAAGAAAACCTGTTAGAGTCTGCAAAAGGCTTGAGACTTGGGCGGAGGTTCACTTTCCAGCAGGACAATGACCTGGAACATACAGCCAGAGCTACAATGGAATGGTTTAGATCAAAGCATATTTATGTGTTTAAATGGCCCAGTCAAAGTCCAAACCTAAATCCAATTGAGAATCTGTGGTGAGACTTAAAAATTGCTGTTCACAGACAGCAGGTAGAGACCTCCCAAAAAGACTTGCAGCTGTAATTGCAGCAAAAGGTGGTTCTACAAAGTATTGACTCAGGGGGGCTGAATACAAATGCACGCCACACTTTTCAGATAGTTCTTTGTAAAAAAGTTTGAAAACCAGTTCTCATTTTCCTTCCAATTCACAATTATGTGCCACTTTGTGTGTTGTTCTATCACATAAAATCCCAATAAAATACATTTATGTTTTTCGTTGTAACATGACAAAGTGTGGAAATTTTCAAGGGGTATGAATACTTTTTCAAGGCATTGTACTTTTTTAATTTAGTGTAGGTACTTAATTAACATAAATAAATGTAGTCTGTGCTATTACATTATTCATCAATGTACAGTGTTGCTTGCGTTCATTGCACTAAGAAACCAATTCTGCTCAGCCAGCAATAACCCTATCATTATGCACCTAAAGACATTTTAGTCAAGGCTTTGCTTTCTCATCACTGCTAGTATTTTGGAAAGCATTTTTTAGGCTTTCTCCACAACCCATGAATCATTCCTATTTTCCATAAATATAGCTTCTTGCATCTTGTATTTATTTTACATAAAACCAATGTCTCAATCAACCAATAACATCATCCCATTTCTTTTGAAGTGCTCAGCAGTCATAGCTTTGATGTACTGCTGAGGTGTCCTGAATGAAGTCATGGGCATTAATATGAAAGCCCCATTTAATCATACTGAAAAGTACTCCATCATAAACATTTTGCAGTGATCAATAACAGATCTATGTTTAAATCCCCATTGCTCAAATAAGAAACCCTGTTGCTCTCTTCTGTTATGGTTTCATGGTATATCCATAACTAACATGAGATATGTAAACATAGGAGGAAACCAAAATACACAAAAGAAATCCATGACTAATCCCAAATACAGTACATCATCTCATACAACAGAGATTTTTTTTTTCATGTAGGCAACTTCCAAATTACTTCTGGAAAGACAGTACAGCTATATTTACAATGGCCTTCTCAAGACAACAGCAAACGTGTTTGTATGAAATTAGCATTGAAACACAAAGAAATTAAACAAACTAGCCTATGCAGTATAGGGTTATAGCAAGACAATTTAAAGAAACCCTGTGGTACGAATAAAGTGTTTCATGTGCTATTTACCTCCCTAGCTGTCTGATTATGTCAATATTTCTGTGCTCAAAGCGGTACATTTATTTGCATTGAAATATGTATTTTTTTTATTGTAGGCCTGTAATTTTTAGGAATAACTCACTGAAAATCTGTCCGAACAAGAGTCTAGTAAACATCCCGGGTATGTTAAAATTTGAAAACACGAAATCATAAATTATAACTTAATAAATAATCATTAAAAAATAATAATATAATAATAATAAGTTTAATTCAATAATATAATCAAACGAGAAACACTGAAATTTAAATATAGCGCCAAGTTCACACATCACTGAGCAAAGTCCGAAAATCGTTTTCAGTGTCTGATGACGAATTTCCCCACAAATCATTATCACTCAATTCTGCAAGTGGTTCTAATTTACTATCTCTGTTCTCTAGCTGGTCTGAAACCGATTTTGACCTAAAGGGATGCTTTTTGGACGCCATGGACTTTTCTCAGTTTCCAGGTAGAGATGAGCGAAGTATTCAAAAATTCGATTCGGCTGATTCGGCGAATTCGAGGAATAAATTCGATTTGAGGCGAATATATTCGCTGCGAATTTAACTTATAAAAAGGGTGTTTCTAGGCTTCAGAGAGCCTTTATATTAGTGCAGAACACTGTACCTTTAATTTAAATGCCCTTGGAGTCTGCTGGGGAAGAGATATAATACTGTCAGTCAGTATGACATGCAGATGAGTGCCATCGATCTTAGAATCACCGCACACTTCACTCATTTGGGCAGTCACGGGCCAAAACCAGAGTGTGGAGCCACAGTGTGGCGGTGGAGGCAGCAGCAATGGGAGGCCATACAGCACCCTATGACAAAATGGAACCCACCAGCAGTGTGAGGAGACCTGAAAGTGGCACATGGCAGAGTGTGGCGATGGAGACAGCAGCAATGGGAGGCCGTACAGGGACCCATGAGACACTCTGGACCTGGCAGCAGCATGAGGAGGCGGTACAGGGGCCCATGACAGATTACGGGCCTGGGAGCAGCATGAGGAGTCGGTACGGGGGCCCATGGCAGATTACGGGCCTGGCAGCAGCAATGGGAGGCCCGTAATCTGCCAGCACCCTATGACAAAATGGAACCCACCAGCAGTGTGAGGAGACCTGAAAGTGGCACATGGCAGAGTGTGGCGATGGAGACAGCAGCAATGGGAGGCCGTACAGGGACCCATGAGACACTCTGGACCTGGCAGCAGCATGAGGAGGCGGTACAGGGGCCCATGACAGATTACGGGCCTGGCAGCAGCATGAGGAGTCGGTACGGGGGCACATGGCAATTACGGGCCTGGCAGCAGCAATGGGAGGCCCGTAATCTGCCAGCACCCTATGACAAAATGGAACCCACCAGCAGTGTGAGGAGACCTGAAAGTGGCACATGGCAGAGTGTGGCGATGGAGGCAGCAGCAATGGGAGGCCGTACAGGGACCCATGAGACACTCTGGACCTGGCAGCAGCATGAGGAGGCGGTACGGGGGACCATGGCAGATTACGGGCCTGGCAGCAGCAATGGGAGGCCCGTAATCTGCCAGCACCCTGACAAAATGGAACCCACCAGCAGTGGGAGGAGACCTGAAAGTGGCACATGGCAGAGTGTGGCGATGGAGACAGCAGCAATGGGAGGCCGTACAGGGACCCATGAGACACTCTGGACCTGGCAGCAGCATGAGGAGGCGTTACGGGGGCCCATGGCAGATTACGGGCCTGGCAGCAGCAATGGGAGGCCCGTAATCTGCCAGCACCCTATGACAAAATGGAACCCACCAGCAGTGTGAGGAGACCTGAAAGTGGCACATGGCAAAGTGTGGCGATGGAGACAGCAGCAATGGGAGGCCGTACAGGGACCCATGAGACACTCTGGACCTGGCAGCAGCATGAGGAGGCGGTACAGGGGCCCATGACAGATTACGGGCCTGGCAGCAGCATGAGGAGTTGGTACGGGGGCCCATGGCAGATTACGGGCCTGGCAGCAGCAATGGGAGGCCCGTAATCTGCCAGCACCCTATGACAAAATGGAACCCACCAGCAGTGTGAGGAGACCTGAAAGTGGCACATGGCAGAGTGTGGCGATGGAGACAGCAGCAATGGGAGGCCATACAGGGACCCATGAGACACTCTGGACCTGGCAGCAGCAAGAGGAGGCGGTACAGGGGCCCATGGCAGAGTGGCGAAGCGTAAGCAGCTTAAATTGAAGGCCATACAGAGGCCTATGTTAAAAATAATAACATGTTTGGGGCATGATTCATGGCGGATTTAGTCAGTTCTGTCAGGAACTGGTGGTTTGAAATCCAGACTAATCCACGCCTGATTCATTTTCACAAACGTGAGTCTCTCCACACTTTGGGTGGACAGTCGTGTCCTCCGCGGAGTTACAATACCTCCTGCCGCACTAAAACACGCGCTCCGATGCCACGCTACTGGCCGGGCATGACAGCCTTTCAAGGGCAAATTCAGCTAGTTGGGGCCAAGGGTCAAGTTTCGTTGCCCAGTAGTCAAGGGGATTGTCTACCTCGGTTGGCAGGGTGCTGTCCAAGTAGGCCCAAGCCTGTTGTTTGAGGTCCTGCTCCAGGTCCACCTGATGCTGCTGCTGCTGCGGCTGGTTAGTAGTTTCCTCACTGCGCTGGTGAAGAAAGCTACTCATCATCGACTGCAGACTGAGGCAGCCGCTGCTGGTGGAGCTGCCACTGCTCCTACCACCCCACCCCTCCCCTGCTGCCATGGCAGCGGAACGCGAGCGCACAGGGCCCACAGTGTCTGAGGATGGACGTTGGCGCAGAAAGGCAGAGACCAACTGACTACATAGGTGGTTTTTATAGTACGTTATTTTGGCCTCCCTCTCAGCAGGTGTGAAAAAGGCCACCATTTTTGAACGGTAGCGAGGGTCCAACAAGGTGGACAGCCAAAAGTCATCCCTCTGTCTGATGGTTATTATTCGGCTGTCGCTACGCAAGCAACCGAGCATGCTATGGGCCATTTGTGCCAAGGAATGCGAGGGACTCCCTGCCTCCATCTCCACAGCATACTGCCACGGTGCGTCTGGGTCCTCTGTCTCCTCCTCCTCCTCTACCAGATGCTCCTGCTCCTCCACTCCTGTCCGCTGAGTGGAAAAACCACCCATTTCACTCAATAATTCCTGAGCACCAATGTCCTCCTCTACCTCCTCCTCTACTTCCTGTCCTGCCCCCACAGGGGTCATGTGGCGTTGAGATCTGTGCGCCACGTCTACCGCACCCTGACCAGCCATTGTTAACAGCATTTGTTCCAGGACGTGCAACAGAGGAATGACGTCGTTCATCCCATAGTCCTGCCGACTCACGAATAGCGTGGCCTCCTCAAAGGGCCTGAGCAAGCGGCAGGTGTCACGCATGAGCTGCCAATAGCTGACATCTAAGTTACACAGGGGAGTACCTTTATCCGCTTGTAACATCAGGAAATCGGTGATGGCCTTTCGCTGTTCGTAAAGGCGGTCTAACATATGTAGGGTTGAATTCCACCTTGTTGCAACGTCACAGCATGAGGAGTCGGTACGGGGGCCCATGGCAGATTACGGGCCTGGCAGCAGCAATGGGAGGCCCATAATCTGCAGGCACCCTATGACAAAATGGAACCCACCAGCAGTGTGAGGAGACCTGAAAGTGGCACATGGCAGAGTGTGGCGATGGAGACAGCAGCAATGGGAGGCCGTACAGGGACCCATGAGACACTCTGGACCTGGCAGCAGCATGAGGAGGTGGTACGGGGGCCCATGGCAGATTACGGGCCTGGCAGCAGCAATGGGAGGCCCGTAATCTGCCAGCACCCTATGACAAAATGGAACCCACCAGCAGTGTGAGGAGACCTGAAAGTGGCACATGGCAGACTGTGGCGATGGAGACAGCAGCAATGGGAGGCCGTACAGGGACCCATGACAGATTACAAGCCTGGCAGCAGCATGAGGAGGCGGTACAGGGGCCCATGACAGATTACGGGCCTGGCAGCAGCAATGGGAGGCCCGTAATCTGCCAGCACCCTATGACAAAATGGAACCCACCAGCAGTGTGAGGAGACCTGAAAGTGGCACATGGCAGAGTGTGGCGATGGAGACAGCAGCAATGGGAGGCCGTACAGGGACCCATGACAGATTACGGGCCTGGCAGCAGCATGAGGAGGCGGTACAGGGGCCCATGACAGATTACGGGCCTGGCAGCAGCAATGGGAGGCCCGTAATCTGCCAGCACCCTATGACAAAATGGAACCCACCAGCAGTGTGAGGAGACCTGAAAGTGGCACATGGCAGAGTGTGGCGATGGAGACAGCAGCAATGGGAGGCCGTACAGGGTCCCATGACAGATTACGGGCCTGGCAGCAGCATGAGGAGGCGGTACAGGGGCCCATGACAGATTACGGGCCTGGCAGCAGCAATGGGAGGCCCGTAATCTGCCAGCACCCTATGACAAAATGGAACCCACCAGCAGTGTGAGGAGACCTGAAAGTGGCACATGGCAGAGTGTGGCGATGGAGACATGGGCCCCCTGGCCACGCTTGACTTTCTGGCCACATAGTCGACATATGGCTACGTTTACTTCCTCGGGAGGCTTGACGAAAAATTGCCACACCGCCGAGTAGGAAACTTTGCCCCCGCTACTCCTCACTGGCTGACTGCTACTTCCTCCGTGCACACCGGCACCACTACTGGCCGTGGTGGTAGGCTGCAGTGGAGCTGGTGCTCTACTCCGTGGCCGTTTGCCTCCACTGACACTGCTGCGACCCTGCTGCCTCCTGGGCAACCCACCGACTGTTTTGCTCGCTACCAAGCTGGCACCCTCTTCTCCTGATGATGCGGAAGCAATAGCCTGATGACGACGAGGCTGCCAAGTGCGATCAGCCTCATCATCATCAATTAGGGTCTCCGCCTCACTACTAGCCCCCTTGGCTGCATGTGGGTCAGGAGACAGACCTGTCTCTAGACCGGCTACCGAGCCACTCTCCTCGCCACTACTTCTTCGCCTGGCTGCTGAAGAGGCGGATGTCTCCCCCCGTTCCTGACCGCCCTCTGTTAGCTCTTCCTCACTGTACAGTGGGGCTGAGCCCACAGCATGCGATACTTCGCTTGTTGAGGGAACACCAAAGGACAGGGGCAGGTAGAGGACACGTGATTTCAGTGGGCTTGCTCCCGGGCCATGCCAACTAACGGTTGTGTCTGACGTACCCACCGACCGTTGGCTGTAGGTGTCAGAGGTGACCTGGGAAGAGGAAGACGACCGAGCCAACCAATCGATGACGGCAGGGTTGTCGGTGGAGACACGACCGCTGGATGACACCGGGAGCACTGGCCTCTGGCTGCGACTAGTGCTGCCTCGACCCCTTCCTCTGCTGCCACGTCTGCTCGCTCCTGAAACATTGCCTCCTCTGCCACTCCTCTGCGTGTTGTCTGACATACTCTTTAATTCAACGATTCTGTGTCCCTGAGTAACGATTCTGTGTCCCTGAGTAACAATTCTGTGTGTCTGTCTCTGAGTAACAATTCTGTGTCCCTCAGTAACAATTCTGTGTCCCTCAGTAACAATTCTGTGTCTGTCCCTGAGTAACAATTCTGTGTCCCTCAGTAACAATTCTGTGTCCCTCAGTAACAATTCTGTGTCTGTCCCTGAGTAACAGTTCTGTGTCCCTGATTAACAATTCTGTGTCCCTGAGTAACAGTTCTGTGTCCCTGAGTAACAATTCTGTGTCCCTGAGTAACAATTCTGTGTCTGTCCCTGAGTAACAATTCTGTGTCCCTCAGTAACAATTCTGTGTCCCTGAGTAACAATTCTGTGTCCCTGAGTAACAATTCTGTGTCTGTCCCTGAGTAACAATTCTGTGTCCCTGAGTAACAATTCTGTGTCCCTCAGTAACAATTCTGTGTCCCTCAGTAACAATTCTGTGTCCCTCAGTAACAATTCTGTCTGTCCCTGAGTAACAATTCTGTGTCCCTGAGTAACAGTTCTGTGTCCCTGAGTAACAATTCTGTGTCCCTGAGTAACAGTTCTGTGTCCCTGAGTAACAATTCTGTGTCCCTGAGTAACAATTCTGTGTCCCTCAGTAACAATTCTGTGTCTGTCCCTCAGTAACAATTCTGTGTCCCTCAGTAACAATTCTGTGTCCCTCAGTAACAATTCTGTGTCTGTCCCTGAGTAACAATTCTGTGTCTGTCCCTGAGTAACAGTTCTGTGTCCCTGATTAACAATTCTGTGTCCCTGAGTAACA